CGGCAACCCCAAGTGATTCTATGTGCCCACTAAACAAGGACATATCAACAGTGGAATAGAATAGAATCGATCAAACAAGCAAGTCTGTAAGCATGAAGAGGCCATCGCGCCCTATTCCTCAATTGAATGAACGATGATCCAAGAGAATACCAAGACCAGGAATGATTTCCTAACCAAAGCCAGAAGTGGCTTCCAAAATAATACTCATCAATAAAGATTCAGCGAATAACATCATGGGAATAGACCCTTCCACCAATGATGACAATAAAAATCAAAAACAACATGAGAAAAAGGCAAAAGTACGAGGCGTTCTGGAAGGAGTATGGGTCGTTCTGGATAGAGAACGGGCGTTCTGGATGAATCCCAAAACGGGACGTTCTAGTTTCAGAACAGGCCGTTCTGCATGTGATTTTTGTACATGATGAAGGGGTGCAGAACGGGATGTTCAGGATTCAGAACAGGTCGTTCTGGCCACTCCTGAACTTCTATAAATAGGGGTTGTGTTGTTGAATAGAAAGTGAAGTTTTTAGAGAGAAGTTTTAGAGAGAAGGACTCTAGATTAGGAAGCTTGCTTTGGGAGGACTGAAGTTCCGGGTTGAGCTTCAGAAGGGAATTCTACTTCTTCTCAGTTATTGGCTATTTTGAGCCAATCTTCAAGTGAGGGAAGCTAGAATGTTTGTTGTTTAAGTTGCATGTGAGTTTAGAAACTCAATTGATGCATGAAAGTTGAGGATCCATGGCTGGATCAGAGAATTCCCTCATTTTTGGGGTTTTGAGAAAAAGGAGGATTTTGATGCATAGGTTGGATGCATGTGAGATTTAAGTTTATTTTGAGTTGTATGGAGCCTGTGCATTGTGTTTTGTGTTTGCATGTGGTTGGATTTGTTGGTTTGGATGAGAGTTTTGCAACTCTTTGACAGGGATTAGGTCGGGCGCAGGTTGAGCGCGCCGAGCGTGGAAGAGCTTAGAGCTCTTGGGTTGGTGTTAGGCCAGGCGTGAGCTGATTGCGCTGAGCGTGAATATATTTGTAAATAATTGATTTAAATTGATGCTTATGCATGTTTAAAGTTGAAGTTTTAGATCATGTATGTATGATATATGATGTATGGTGAGGTGTGATTCATATGTATGCTTTGTGATGATACGTATGAATGTTTGAATATGATATGACATGTGTATATGTTCATATGGGTATGTTCATTGATCATGATGGTGGGTAGACCATGTATGATGTATGATGCATTATTGCATGTGATGCCTTATGGCATGTGTATGATTATTGATCATAATGGTGGGTAGACCATGTATGATGTATGATGCATTATTGCATGTGATGTCTTATGACATGTGTATGATTGTTGATCATGATGGTGGGCAGACCATGTATGATGTATGATGCATAATTGCATGTGATGCCTTATGGCATGAGTCTAGCCTAGGACTTGAGGAGAGGAAAAATATTTTTGAACTGGAAGAGCTCACATAGAGTCTCTTGAGAGTGGTGCTTGGATAGGCCACTGATATATGAGAGTGGTGCTCAGGGAGGCCACTGGATTTGGGAGAGTGGTGCTCAGATAGGCCACTGGGTTGGGTGAGTCTCCTCTAAGTCCTTAGCTAGTGTTGGAGCGGGGTATGAGGTCGAGGGTTATTCCCTTAACCAAGTACTCGGGAAGGTGCGTGGATCCTTGCGGATAGTCGGTGGGCGAACTCCACAATTGACTTGGTTAATGCATGCCAAGGTCGTGGTAAGCCCGTACCCAGCTGTGCTATACCTGACGGTGGATCTGGACTTCCAATTGTGTAAGTGACATCATCCGAGTAAACCCGAGTGAGGATTATATCCTGTTTAGCTGTGACCGAGCGGGCGCATTGGGCGTGAAAACGGTTGTGATGGTTTCGGTAGGATGGGATGTCACTTATACAGCTCTGTTGTTAGGGAGATCTCCTAGGTGTATACGTGACGACGTATTAGATGATTGATATGCATTGATATCTGTCATGAGATGCATTTGTTGCATGCTTGTTAATATGATGAAGTGTGTGGTGTTTGGCTTCATGATTGATGGATTGTATTTTATGCATGAGTAGTATTGGATAGAGTGTATGTTGTGACTCTATGAATATGATTGATAGTTGGATGATTATGTAGTATAGATTATTGTTCTATACTTGTATGATTGATTTTTGAACTCTAGCTTACCCTTCTGTTTCCATGTGGTAGGACTACGATGATCATACTTGGTATGGGAGCAGGTCAGGGATAGCTTGGAGTTGAGGTGACCGCTACGAGACGAGGAGTTTGATCCTCGTGTTAGAGTTACCATTTTGGGTAACGATTTTGTCTGTGCTTGACCGGCACTAGGAAATATTATTTTTGGGATGACTGTACATATATGGAGTTCTATTTTGTATTTAAGAAACTTAGTTATTTTTATTCTTATCTATACATGTTTGTATGAGTTATCCAACTTAATATTTCTCTTAGTTCACTAGTAGTAGTGCGATTCCACTAAGTGTAGAGACTATGGCGGCTCATTACAAATAACATATAAAAGATTTTTGCTTGTATGTGTTTCAACAATTAACTGATATTTGTTTATTAATAAATCTTATTTACTACTTCAAAATAAATCTTATTTACATGTTTTCTTTTAATTTTTATATCTCCAAATATCATGCTTCTAAAATATTATATTACCTGCTCCCTCCAATCTTTATTATAAACAAAAAAACAAAAGTGATTTTACGCATATTAAAAAAGTTGATTATTTACACTAAATTTTACTACTCTTATAAGATTTTTTCTAAATTATTCTTGTGATAAATGTTTAAAGTAGTGCAACTGAAATATCATGCATTAAAAATGGATATTTCAAAGAAAATATTATTAAATGATGCAAAAGTAATTAAATTTATTTATGTTTAAGAACAAGAAATGTATGTTTTTGTTTCTTATAATAAAGAACATATGAAGTAAGTATGAGTAAACTTATTTTTTTTACCACCAAAATATGAGTAAATATTAAAACTTTAAAAAAAAATTAATAGATATCATAATAGTGTCAAAGTGAGTCAACCCTAATGTAAAGGTTGGCTCACCATGGATTGATGTTTTAAATAGACCAATCCAACTTAACTTATTTTTTGGTGAGTTAAAAAAATTTCAACTTTACTTACCACAGATTGATAGTTTAAGTATGTTGGTTCACCATATTTTTTAAAGGTAAAAATATTTTAAAAAAATTAATTACATGTTCCTATTTTTAATAAATATAATAAAAAATTATAATTTTTTTTATTAAAAAAATCAAGTCTATCATTCATTTAATGCAAATAAATAAGAAAATATCAATCAAAATTTTAAATAATAATTGGATAAAACATAAACATATATTTTTTTAATTGTAGTGGATTAAATTGATTAACCTAACCCAATTAAGTACAAATCTATTTGACTCATAGACTAAGTGAGTCAAATAGGGATAACAAAAATATTCGCACCCGCGGGTATCTGCGGGTAAAACCCGTTACGGATAATAAATAGATATGCTAATTGGGTACCCGCAGATAATGGGGACGGATAATTTTTTACCCGTTTATAAACGGGGCGGGGGTGGGTATGATGATATCCATACCCGCGGGTACCCGTTTAATAATATTTCTTAAATATCCTAATTATCCTTGTACTACATAACCCTAAAACTATACTCATCTTATTTTCTTACAAAAGTGATGTTGATGAAGTTACCAACATGTGTTAAGCATGTTATAGAATTATGTTGGATGTGATTTGATTGATTTTCTAGCTTTGATTGGACCAATAAAATTTATTTATTGTAAGTTATTTACTTACATTTGAAATTATGCGATTGAATTATTGTAACTTTGTGATGAGACTTTTATTATTATTTCATCAAAATTAACGTTAAATACAAGTTCAAAATTAACAATGAATTTTTATTTTTTAATATTTTAATGACATTAAATATAAACTTAAAATTATTTATAATATAATTTTTTAAATTTATTAAAAGATTTATAAATATCCATGGATATCCGTGGGTATTTAAGAAATTCATGGATACCCGCTTAATGGATACCCGCGTGGATATGAGGTGGGTATGAGGTCAATTTTCATCTAGAGAGGTGGGGCCGGATTTAATATTACTCGCCCCCACGGGGCCCCATTGCCATCCCTAGAGTCAAATTAGAATTTAGTTAAAAGTGATATAATTTTATTTTTTTAACTTAACTCGAATTGGCTTAAACCCATGGTGGGATAGATTTATTCATTGAGTTTGACTCATTTTGTCACCTCTCAATACCAATTTAATGAAAAAAAAATTAAAGTTTTATATTTCTTAAATTAAAATGACTAAATATTTTATTTTAAAATTGAAAGATAAAATTACAAAAAGTGCCATTTAATATATTAAGTTTATGCAAAATAATAAGAGTTAATTACCTATACACTACCAGTATAATAATAAGAGTTAATTACCTATACACTACCAGTATAAATTTTTTTTATACTAGCAACTAAATATATCTTTTAATTGTGTCATGTCACTGTTAAAAATAAATGTGTTTACAGTGACATAACATAATTAAAATATATAATTATCAGTATAATTAACTCAAATAATAATATCCTTCCCTTAAAAGTTGTATCTCTTATAGTTTTACACAAACTCCCTGTCATTTCTCAACGATGTTCCCTTAACCATAGACGTTGCTGCAAGTATCTATCTGTTGGTTCATCAATGCAATGCAGTAACTTAATTCCCCTGCACAAATCTTGGGAATGGGACCCATCTCATTTCTCCTATTTCAGTCACAATGCATGAGCCATTCACTCGCCACCGACATAGTAACAAAGCCACACTCTCCTTCACTCTCTTACTTACCCATCTCAACTAAAACATTAATTTCAAAAACGACAAGACCAAAACACTTGTCTTCTTAGATTGGTCAAGTATTCAACTCAAGAGTCTACTAACATTAGTCCACAAAAAAACCAAAATTTGATACTCTTAAATAAATTTAACTAAAATTAATTTCAGCTTTCCAATCCCAAGGCTTCAAAAGCTATTGCGTGCCCTTTTCTTTATTTCACCCACTGTCACACTCTTCCTCAGCTTCTGCACCAGAACTTCTCTCTCATCTCAATGGCCACTCCACATTACAGTCTTCTTCATTTTGTCGTTGTTGTTCTTCCTCTCATTTCCGCATCCACGTCTTCTCAGCAAAACATGAACCCATTGGACTTGAAGGCCCTTCTCTCCATCAAGAACACCCTCACCGAAGTCTCACCCTTCAAGCCCTTCTTCTCCACGTGGAACCTCACCGCACCGGATCCCTGCTCCTCCTTCTCCGGCGTCACGTGCTTCCTCCGCCGCGTCTCCATTCTCTCCCTCGGCAGCAACTCGCTCCCACTCGCCGGCTCTCTCCCCGAGTTAGTCTCGCTGCTCACCGAGCTGACTCAGCTGATCCTCTCCCCCGGAATCGTCACCGGCCCCATCCCTCCCCAACTCGGTCGACTCACTAAACTCCGAGTCATCTCCCTCCCCAGCAACCGCTTCACCGGAACCATCCCCTCCACGCTCTCCTCTCTGAAAAACCTCCACACCCTCGACCTCAGTCACAACCAACTCGCCGGGTCGGTCCCGCCGAGTCTCACCGAGTTGCCCCAACTCAAAGTCCTCATCCTGGCCTCAAACTCCCTCACCGGCGCGTTACCAAGAACCGTTTCCTCGCCGTTACTCCACTTGGACTTGAAGAGCAACCAGCTTACGGGACCGTTAACAGTCTCACTGCCGTTAGCCCTCCGTTATCTGTCCCTCTCGCAGAACCTCATGTGGGGCCCTCTCACCAACGGGTTGGAGTCGCTCTCAGAGTTAGTGTTCCTCGACCTCAGCATGAATCATTTCAGTGGGCCCATCCCGGCCCAATTGTTTTCCCTTCCCGCTCTCTCAAATATTTTCTTGCAACGGAACAATCTCTCTGGTGGGCTCCCCAGGGGGCCCAGGCCCAGGCCCAACTACGCTGAAGGATCCATCGTTGATCTGAGTCATAATGCTCTCAGCGGGGAACTCTCCGATGCGTTTGACGGAGTGGAGAGCTTGTTCTTGAATAATAACCGCTTCACGGGGAGGGTGCCGGAGGTGTACGTTAAGAGCGTGTGCCGCGGCACCACCAGAACGCTCTACCTTCAGCATAACTACCTCACGGGGATTCCGCTGCAGGTGGGAACCGTGGTGCCCGATACGGCGTCATTGTGCTTTTCGTACAACTGCATGGTGGCGCCGCCGAAGATTATGACGTGTCCGGCCAGCGCTGGCGGAGAGTTGCCGAGGCCGGTGGCGCAGTGCTCCGTGTTCAACAACCACAACCAGTGAGTCATATATTCACTATACCTTCCATGTTTTCCTTTTTTGGATTTTGATTCATCACGTAAAGTTGTATTTTGTTAGAGAAAGAAGGTAGTGATGAAATGAAACAAGTTTTTTTTTTTTTTTTTTCTTTTTTTTTCTTCTTCATGTTGTTCATCATACATTTATCGATATTAATCTTTTATAATTAAAGACTTAAATTGTTGATTTTCTTTTTCTAATATGAAATATCGATTTTATTTTATTTTATTTTTGGCTTAATTGCATTTTTGATCCTTCAAGTATTGTAATTGTGCAATTTTGATTTCCAAAGTTTTAATTGGGTAATTCTAGTCCCTTAAAGATTATAATTGTGCGATTTCGGTATTTTAATTTTTAATTGAACAATTTTAGTCCTCGAATATCATAATTGTGTCATTTTAGTCTCTTCCATTAAAAATTTAATAATTTCAATATATATATACAATGTTTTATCAACTCAAGACAAATATTAGATAAATATTATTAACATAAATATTATACGTTAACTTAAATAAGCAAAAAATTGTATAATTTTAAAATATTATATATACTAGCGGGATCGAGACACTTCGTGCCTCTATACGTATTTTATCTTAGAATTTAAAATAACTCATATATAAAACTAATTGGTATAAATAATTTTACATTTTTATATAATTTTTTTTTATCAATATTCATTAATGAAGTGCATATGAATTGCATTATTGTTTTCTTATTAATATATACAATTTAGTTTTTATTTATATTTATTTTATCTACAATACTGATTAAAGTATATTTAAAAATTTATGTTCTACATAATTATATTTGTAGTAATATATATATATATATATATATATATATTATTATGTACAACGAAATATTTTACCATCATAAAATTTCCTTAATAAGAAGATAATGATTTTATTTCATGACTATTTTTAGCTTCCTTACAATTTATAAAAGAAAATAAATGTCATTTTTTTTATTATGTTTAGTTAACATTAACATGAAAGAAAACATATAACAGAATTATCTAATAATTATGATGTATATTTAATTTTACTTTAACATGGTGATTATATAATTTAAATAACACTAGAAAGAAAAAATAAATAAAAAGAAAAAATGAGAAGTTACTCATAAAAAATAAATAAAAGTGATGGAGGAAGCCCATGGGCCAAGGGCCCAACTACTAGGGCTATGGCAAGGAGGATACATGAGGAGTGGGCCAAAGCCCCAGGAAAGCCCATCTCTTTGTTTAGGTGGGCTTTGACTCAAGTCCAAGTAGATTAAGGTTAGTGTAAGATTGGGCCTTAGTGCCTTGTATTTCTTTTGGGCATTGTATTTCCGGCCATTTAGCTTAGGATTTCATTTGAAAGTCATTTGAATTTAGGGTTATTTAGGTTGCATGTGTAGTTGCATTTCGGCCATGTGCAACACATGCACATGGTGTGATCCGAAATGCAACCCAAATAGAAGCCTAATGACATTCCAAATGCCTTGCACATGGGTGATCCGGTTTAGGCTCCAAAATTTGAATTTTAAATTCAAATTTTGGGCGCCTAAGGTTAAGTGAACCCTACCATGGTTCCACTTAACCTTAGGCTAACCCATGGTCACCTTGACCTAATTTTCCCCTACAAATCCTTATGATCGAGCCTTGTAATGCACTTTGGATTAATTTGATGAGTTTTTCTCTCTTAGAACTCACCTCTCCGAAGTCACCTTGCTCCTAGACTCTACCCTACTTGAGAGCTTCTCTTTGTAGAGCTATGACCTTTTATTCTTCTTCGGACTTGGCTATCCGCAAGCCTAGGTCACATTGAAGCTTCTTTGGAGTCTTGTTCCTTGAAGTTCTTCCAAGGAATTCCGAGAAGCTTGAAGTGTTCATGAGAATTCCAAGTGGAATCTCATCAAGTGGTATCAAGAGCATTCGGTTCTTCAAGAGATAAGTCATTTTCTTGTCTTTTGAAGTTGTGATCCGTGGTTATTTCTCATCTTGTGTTCATCTTGTTTTTGAGTCTTTGTCACCAAGAGTTTACTATTTCCTAGATCTAATTTTTTGTCTCAAAATTTGATGGATCTAGTTTCATATGCTTGAATGATTCATTTATGCTTTTATGATAATATGCTTCCATGAATCATGCTCCATTCTTTTGCCTATTAGGAAATTTCTGCCTATGAACTTTTTGCTTTCTCTGAGTCATACTTGAAATTTTATTCGGTCATTATATGCTTGAGTCCTTTTGTTTTATTTTGAATCCATGTCTAGTAGGTTTGTGTAGTTCTTTTTTATGTTCATCTTTCCTAGCTATGCTTGTTGATCCGTTTTGAATTTTTGAATTGCATCTTGAAAACATTTTCTGGATTTGGCCGAGATCCATAGCTTTGGTATATGCTCATAAATTTTGTTTCACTTTGAGTTCTTAAACTACTACTAGATCATTAGTAGTTTTCTTAGAAATTTTAGGTTTCCTATACTTGAAAATGTCTTAAAAAAAATTTTCCCTATCCGTGAGTGTTTGATCTTGTTTGAATTGTGTGTGCTGAAAATTTGTGTTTGTAGCTCAATTTGAAATTTGAATTTGGAGCCTAAAACCGTGCATGTGCCATTCAAAATAGCAAGCATCAAAAGCATGTGACATGTTCATTGAATTTTAACCTAATTTGCTTGTTATTTGGCATCTAAATTTGAATCTAGTTTTGGTGCTTATTTTTTTTAAGTGTGACCGAGACTAGCATACTACATATTGTGTTACATTTTGAAAAAGGCAACTCCTAAGATTTTAAAAAAAATATAGAAGAAAGATCAAAAGAAAATACAAGAACAAATTGATTAAAAAAAATGATAAACCTAATTTTCAAAGGAAAAAGCCATTAAGGAGTTTTAGTTCACAAATTTGCTCTCGGTTTGTCATTTCTTCTTGTTACTTAATATTTTCAGCTTATAATCTTTGAGTGTTGGTTTTGTGAATCAATTCTAGAACCTATCTTAGGCCATTTCCTTCTTGTTCTAGCCAACACTTGTGTTGTGTCATCTAAATTGTCCTCTCCTATTCTACTCTTGATTTTCTTAATTCTCAAATTCTCTTTGCTATTCTTTATCATTGTTTAATCTCAAGTGTGACCTATGTTTGACCTAGCCTATCTCCCTAGAAGCTAGTTCTACAAGGGTCATCAAAAGAGGCCTAAGAAAAGGAGGAGGAAAGGCCATAGGTGGCTCTCGGATTTGGCTAATCAAAGCATAAACACTAAAAACTTGGAGCTGGAAAAATTTGTGTGACTGCTGGACTTGTCAACCGTGAAGATCATTGAGATTCAAATTGTCTTGTAATTGAATTTAAAAAAAAAAATAAGTATTAGTGACGGATTTAGAGACCAACCTTTCATTACTAACTTGAAATTTTGTTGCAAAATTTGGTCACTAATCCCTCACTAATTCTTGGTGGCTGTTTTCTAATTTATTTTTAAGCCACTTGTTCTTTGTTGTTTAGCTTTGTATATACCTTGTAATTGGCCATTTAAAGGAGTGTCTTGGGTGTGTCTTTGGTACACAACCATCTCTCCTTAGGAGTTCATTTTCGTTAGCACTTGGTGAGAGTGGTCCTTGATTGATCTTTGGTATCTCTCAAGCTCTCACCCTAGGACACGTTTAGGTAGTTTAATTTTTGCTTTAATACTTGTTTTAATTGCTTTCTTTCGTCTAGCATATCATAGATCACCAATCATCAAAAATAAT